CAATCACACACTCACGATGGCAACCGAAATCGCCCGAATTGATCTGCCCCCTAGACAAGTGGCAAAATATGACTTTCTATTCGGACTGATTCGATTTTCGAAAAGTGTGACTAGTCTAGTCTACTAATAGACCCACTGATCGCGTTCAAAGCACCTGTGCGGCGCTAAACTTGTCACGACATGCAACTAGACAATGGGCCAACTATCCGGCCGCCGGATATCCGGCTATCCGGCCTAGCAGCTGGCCGGATATCCGGTATCCGGTATCCGGCCAAACCACTATCCGTTTCATCTCTAATATTAACTACTTATTTACCTCTCAGTGTCTTCAGGCAACTTAAAAAAGTACATTCTGTGTTTTTATTATTATTTAGGCAGTTAAATACTGCACAGTATTTAGTACACCATTTTTTTCCATCATACACAAGAATACGCGTGCGTGAGTCAATGTTCGCTCGTATGTGAGGCCTTGTCGAATAGTACTCTTGTAGGGGGCAATCGTGCGTGTTTTGTTTTCGATGTAAACTCGCGGAGATGAACAGGCCTGGTATTATGAAAAAATAATATAAATTTATTGTAAAACTTCTAAAAAAGTGCTTCTACTCGCAATTACGAGTAAACATTCAACACTGAACAAACGTTCTTGTTAATTTATCTATAATGTTAACTAGTTTAAATATGTACTTATTTTGGTAGGTAGGTAGGTAGTCAACTTGAAATATCAGTTTCAGGAATTATTAGAGAAGGTGAATTTGCAGCACTTCTTGGACCAAGGTAAGATGTTTTATTAATCTTTTTTGCCCTTAGTTTGACCGCGATGTCCTAAGTACCTAAGTAAATAAATAACTAGTGGATCCGAAGGCAACTCTTCCCGTCGTTTCTATAAATCTAACTATAGTTAATTTATTTTGCAAGTAAATACCCGACTGAGCATTTCTGAAATCGACTCCATTGTCTAATACATACATAATTTAATTTTCAATGACATTCAAAAACTGCAATCTCAGACAAAACAAGGAGGAAGATGATTTGGTAATCGCTGTACACAAGATAAAAAATATTCTAATTGCACAATCTCACCTTCTTGTCGGTCAGTCACCTTGTTTTGTGACATTTTTTGACCTCAATAATATTTAGTTATTAATATTGTTGTACTTTACTGTTATTTAGCTAAGTGGAATACTTACGTCCGTATTCACAAACGACGCTTGCTTAAGTGAAGCAACAAATCGACGCACAGCGTTGAATAGAGCTCTGTGATTGGTTCGTGTGTCACCCTGTGCGTCCACGCGCACTGTGAGACGTCATAGTACGAGTAATGTTTGTGAATACGGGCGTTAGTTCTTGTTTTTACAATAATAACAATATTTTACTAGTGGCGCTGGAAAAACCACATTGCTCGTAGCTCTAGCAGGAAAATGCACCCTCCCTTCGAGGGGGCTGGTGTTAGTTGGGGGGAGGGAAGTGTCAGAGGCACAGGGGACGGTGGAACTCCTGCCGCAATTTGACGTCTTCATGGACCAATTGACGGTCATGGAGCATTTGGTTTTTATGGTAAGCGTGGCCTACTTGTTTAGTGTGATTTGTTTTTTTGTTTTTGTTTTCTTAAAGGTATCTATGTCGTCACACTCGTCATTGATATTACACACATAACTTATTATTATTGTTGATAGCAATTGATGGCAGAACGCAGAACCATGGTAGAACTTAAAAATTTTCCTGTAGTTTCCTTCAATGTCATTATTTTGAGTAATTAAAAATCAATTAAAATAATTTCACCTATTAACCGCAAAAAAATATTCATTGCATTCAAAAATGTTTAATAAATCGCTTGAGGTACGAGTAAATTCTTGTAACACCCAAATTACGTAAATAGTACTTTATCTAGAAAAAGCTAACCACAATAAACATCATAAAACAATTAGTGCATTATGATGTCCATAGTTATAAATGTATTAGGGAGCAGACAGGTTAAGATAAAATATCTGAATGTGAATGAGATGACAATCAGTCTGATGATTCATGCAATCAACATGCCAAAGAAAATATTGATGTAGGTACATTTCTTTTTTTACGAAAGCAAATATTGTTGATGTTTTTAGGTTGTTACAGATTGTTTGTTTGACTATTTATGTTTAGTGTGAAGTTATACAGTATGGAACACACAAAAACTGTCACTGTTTAAATAGTTTTTGTATAAAGACATTTGTGCACAAAAGTACAAAAACTAATTAGTGATGATGAACTTTTTGATTCGTAACATTGAATGAAATTAATATTGAGTACGCGCACACCGTTGATTTTTAGTTTGCCGATAGTTGTGCCCGATTTTAAATTGTATAAAGAATCGGCCAAATCGAATCGACGTAGTGTGCGCATGCCCATACTGATCAACTGCCCGACTAAACTATCGGCCGACGAAAAATCAACGGTGTGCGCCTACTCTAAGAAAGTTTTTTGAAATGGTTTTTACAATGCAAGCATTTCTTTCAGACAGAATTGAAACTGGGCAGCTGTAAAAATCCAGCCAATAAAGTGGTACTGAACTATTTGTTGGACGAACTGAAATTGAGAGCGCATTCTAAAACTAGCATAAGCTCACTTTCTGGGGGCGAAAAGCGGTTACTGTCATTGGCTACTTCGGTAAGATATCGATATAGTGAAAATTTGTTTGTTTATGGTTTGGAAATAGGATAAAAAAACACCACACTGCGATAGATTTTTTAAAAGACATTCAAAACTGAACAAAAATTCAAGCACGCTATGCTCTCCTTTGATGATCTAGAAATCGAAATTCAACCAATCAAAGAGTTTTAAATACATGTTTCGTAAATAGGGTCCTGAAAATTCTTTTTTTGATTGTACTTGTATTTTATTCGTGTTTCTAGTGTCTTTCGTTTCTAATCTAACCTTATTATTGTGTTTTAACTTTGTAGCTGCTATCCAGTCCACAAATCCTCATTTGTGACGAACCTACAACGGGCCTGGACAGTTACAACGCCGCCCTGGTGGTGGAGACCCTGAAACGGCTGTCACTCTGCGGGAAGGTGGTCATATGCTCCGTCCACCAGCCCTCCACCGATCTGTTCAAAGAGTTCAACTCCATCTTGCTGATGGCTGATGGGAAGCTATTGTTCCATGGGAGCCAAGAAGACTGTAGCGAGTTGTTTAGAAGGTAAATTAATTTTAATAATGTCTATAACTTTCTGCACTGGAGGGTAGTCGAACCTTAACTTCGAACTCGTCCTATGTTTTTCTGATTAATTTCGTTACAAACCCAATGTCAGTTTAAGTTCCTCGGGATAAACTTGACTTTCATTGATTGGGTTTTTATTGGCGGTCAAGTTGTAGATCTTGGCTACACAGGAGTTGCAGCGGTGGGAACGAGAGGTGGGAATAATCAGTGTTTACAAATAAGCGTAACGATTGAATAAAGGCTCTGTGGGTGTTATATTGATTGATACTGCCTACTTATCATATTACAATGTACAGTAATTGAATCGGACTGTTAACACGTTCACAGTTCAGTACTTTTAGCGACTTACTTATGTTACAAGTTACAACTATGTTGCTTTGCGAACGTTTTCTGTGATTATTAGCTTATTCTCAGGTCACTTTTCACAAAAAGTCATAAGAAATCGGGGTTAAAAAGTATTTTTTTCACCTAGAAGAGTTATTTTTTAGCTATTTTTTTGAAAAATTTTTGCCATATTTTATGTAGGTATGATCTTTATTACAGCAAAGCTAAGTAGTCAGTGAAGTCAATTTGTATGGCTTTTGATTGACGTAACAGTTTTTCTGCTGATTTTTGGATGATAAAAGGCCAACGCCTTTAAGGCTCTTACAGATTAGCGTTTTTTCTTCGCCTATAAATAGGCTTGTTTTTGTCTAGAGGCGCGGCTCTACTTGTGAGAAATACTTTACAACAATGTTACATAGTGTTGGAATGATGATTACTTAAGTGCGAAATGCACCTGTAACGCCCCTGGGACTACGTACGGGCGACGGTAATCACTTACCATCAGGTGATCCGTCTGCTCGTTTGCCTCCTGTCACATAGAAAAAAATGTAGCGTACTTGTAAACTCGTAATGCTTAAAGGAACTTAAAGAAAAACGGTACTCTAAAAGACTAAAGTTACTGCGGATTTAGTGTTCGCTACCTTAATAGAAAAGTATTCAGAATCAGCTGTTGCGAAGTCATCATTAGAAACCTGAAAACTTTATCGAAAATCGAGACTAACGAAAAACATTTCAGCATCAATCTACACTGCCCAGTGAATTACAATCCGGCAGAGTTCTACATACGTGCCGTGTCCCGTCTATGTGGGACAGGTGGGAAGGATGAGTCCCAGAAAATCCTGGACTCGTACCACGAGAGGTACAAACGGGACGAGACGAGTGTTTCAACTGTGAAATCTGCTGTGAATAAGTAAGTACCAACATGTACATTTAGGCTGGGTTACTTTAACGTAACAAACGTCAAAAATCTATCAAACTCCATACAAAAAAACACCGGTTATCGTTAAAGTTAGATGGTGCAGCTCAGCCTTATTGTTTTTATTTTAATTTTAATTTAGGGACCCTTACAACTCGACACAACGACATTGCTAATCACAAGTGCGACTCATAAAGCTAAAATTAGTCATTATAAACTACTTCAAGTTACTAGTTACACCTAATTTATGAATACTCAATAAGTATGCTTTATCAATGTCATCTTCATATCGTTTCAGCCAAATGACGTCCACTGCTGGACAAAGGCCTCCCCCAAGGTTTTCCACAATGAACGGTCCTGCGCTGCCCGCATCCAGGCTCTTCCCGCGACCCTTACCAGATCGTCGGTCCACCTAGTAGGAGGCCTGCCCACGCTACGTTTTCCAGCCCGTGGTCGCCACTCGAGAACTTTCCTGCCCCAACGGCCATCGTCTCTACGAGCTATGTGCCCCGCCCACTGCCACTTGATTTTAGCAATTCTGCGAGCTATGTCGGTTACTTTGGTTCTCCTACGGATCTCCTCATTTCTGATTCGATCACGCAGGGAAACTCCGAGCATAGCCCGCTCCATCGCCCTTTGGGTGACCTTGAGCCTTCTTATGAGGCCCATAGTAAGCGACCACGTTTCGGATCCATATGTCAACACTGGCAACACACACTGCTCGAAGACTTTCGTCTTGAGACACTGCGGTATTTCGGACATGAGTATATGGCGAAGCTTCCCGAACGCTGCCCATCCGAGTTGGATTCGACGATTGACCTCTTTCTCGAAGTTGGACCTACCTAACTGGACTGTTTGTCCCAGGTATACATAATTGTCGACAACTTCGAGTGTAGAGTCTCCAACCTTCAGAGGAGTGGGTGCAACACGGACATTAGACATGATTTTTGTCTTGTCCATGTTCATTCTGAGGCCCACTTGTTGAGAGGCTCTACTGAGGCCATCGAGCATTGTGCCTAGATCCTCCAAGGTCTCAGCCATGACTACGATATCGTCCGCGAATCGAAGGTGGGTGATGTACTCGCCGTTGATATTTATGCCAAATCCGTTCCAGTCCAGAAGCTTGAAGACATCTTCCAGGGCGGTGGTAAACAGTTTTGGAGATATGACGTCTCCCTGTCTTACCCCTCGCTGCAACTGGATAGGTTTCGAATCCCGATCCTGGAGGCGGACCGACATTGTGGCGTTTTTGTACAAATCCCTCAACACTTCGATATATCGATAGTCAATTTGGCACCTTTGGAGAGACTGTAGCACTGCCCAGGTCTCGACCGAATCGAAGGCTTTCTCATAATCCACAAACGCCAGGCAAAGTGGTTGATTATACTCCTCGGTCTTCTGTATAATCTGCCTTAGCGTATGTATGTGGTCTATGGTACTAAAGCCTTTTCGGAAACCGGCTTGTTCGGGAGGCTGGAAGTCGTCGAGCCTGCGAGCGAGACGATTCGTAATGACTCTTGAAAAAGACAATGGAGGCGACCTAGAGCGAAGGACGCTCGGTCGCGAACGGTTTTCACATGTTCGCGGAAGGTTAACCCTTTGTCAAGAGTGACGCCGAGATACTTAACCTTCTTTGTCCATGGAATGGGACGATCGAACATAGTGATCGATTTGGGCGTGGGAGGGAATTTGCTATTGCGAGCAAAGATGATGGCGGCGCTTTTATCGGGATTGACCTCGATACGCCATTTCCTAAACCACTTGCCGAGGACGTCGGCAGTGTTTTGGAGGGTCTTGACTATGTGGGCTGCCCGGCGGGACGTACAGTAAATGGCTGTATCGTCCGCAAAGAGGGCGGTGTGGGTTGTAAGCGGCGATGGCTTAAACCTCGGGAAGCAAATTGAAAGCACAGCGTTGAATAAAGCTCTGCGATTGGTTCGTGTGTCACCCTGTGCGTCCACGCACTGTGAGACCTCATAGTTATGTTTGTCAAAACGGGCGTTAGAAATGGGCATTAGACTAAAACAAGTTTTTTTTCCCAGATAGCCTCCTCCATGGTGATAGGCACCTGCTACGTAGGCGCGTCAGGTTCCACCCAGCGCGGGATCCAGGACATCCGAGGGCTCCTCTGGCTGATGACCAGCGAAGTGTGCTTCGCCTTGTCCTACAGCGCGATGTATACCTTCGAAGCTGAACTGAGTTTGTTCAAGAGAGAGGTCGGGGTGTACAGCTGTTCTTCGTATTTGGTCGCTAGGTTTATTAGCTTTGTATGTTGTTTTCTATCGTTCGTTACAACCAAATGACGTCCACTGCTGGACAAAGGCCTTTTCATAACAACCGCTCATGGGGTTCCTGAATCCAGGCTCTTCCCGCGACCTTCACCAGATCGTCGTTGTTTTGTATAGGGTTAATATTCTTACTACTACTACTACTTTGAATTTGAAATGATAGCTGCGTGTGTAGTCTGATCGACTGATTCTACTAGGTTCTAGGTCAATAAAATATCGCTTGGTATGGGGCCACGTGTAGTACCTTGGCGAAACCATATCTCGAGTAAATTTATCTCTTTCCAGCAGTGGACTGCAATTGGCTGATGATGATGATCATCATCACCTTAGATATGAAATTAACACTCATTTCATTCATTTATATTTCAGTACTGTTCGAGTTATTAGGACACTAAATTAGGGCTGCTAGCTAAAAAAATTGCAATATCTTGAAAATCTCCACTTCCCACATTGCAGATTGTGGGGAATAAATGCGATTAATTCCATTTCTAATATGCCCAGATACCCCAGTGCGCAGTATGGCCTCCATCACTGGTGTTCATCACGACACTAGCCGTGCAGCTGCCAAACCACATGGTGACAGCTTTGAAGTTCTGCCTGAGCCTCTGTGTTGCTGGCATCACTGCTACTGCTTATGGTAAGTTGTCCGAAGTTCTACCTACCACCATCGGGATAGACGACAGGTTAGGTGTGGGATTTTACGCGTTTCGCACCACGAATTAAATTAAAAATCCTGTGTTCTAGGGTTATGTAACGACCCAAAATGTAATCCCCACTTGATTCTACCTCTACCACTACCACGTCCTAAAATAAAAGACATGTTGACATAACAGAAGACATTACCAGAGCAGTCGCAATGTAGAATGGTAGAATCTGTAGGCAGGTTTAACTTGTATTTTACCTGTTTTGTCATAAATCAATCAGTTAACGACTTGAACTATTAAATAAACCCTAATTACAACTATGATATCACTTTATTTTCGTAGAGAATTTTATTGGATTAATATCTTAATTTTGAAATCGTTGTGCAACACATCTAACTCTACTTATGGCAGACTGGTATTAAGATTTGATGGGCTGTTTTTCTGCCTTATATAGGTATTATAGCCTTGAAACTATATTTAAACAAGTAACCTAAGTATTTCTAAAATATTACACTAACTTCTTTTAAAATCATAATAACTATGGGGTCATTGATTTACTTTGTGAATGTTAAGCACCTATTAACTTCATGAGACTGAAATGACTATGATGTACGAGTTTAATGACGATTGTAATCAAGTAGATATTTAGGTACATTAAAAATTGCTCGTGGAGCTGATGGCCGCTGTGGTAGGAAAGTTCTTGAGTGGCGACCACGAACCGGAAGACCTGGCGTGGGCAGGCCTCCCACTAGGTCGCGGGAGGTGCCTGGTGTTAGTGGAAATCCTTGGGGGAGGCCTTTGTCCAGCAATGGACGTCCTTCGGCTGAAATGAATGACTGAACGACATTAAAAATATCGTTTGTCTTTGAAAGAGAGAGCTCTACCAGTATCTTCAGCTGCATCATAGTATCGAGAATGCCTTTATGGCATTAAATTCGTATGTTATAATTTTGGCATTAAAGTAGGTATAGATAAATAAATAAATCACACAAACATCCCTTATCCCTTCCAAGGTCTGGGCATGGGTGCGCTGTTCACGTCATCGAACATCATCAGTGATGTCATGCCCTGCGCTGACCTGCCACTCTTCCTGATGGCGGGTGCGTTCCTGAGGTTATCGTCACTGCCGATGTGGCTTCAACCATTGAGGTTCATATCCCACTTCTACTACGCCATGGATGCTGTCAGCAATGTTTATTGGAGGCAGATTGAGCATATTGGTAAGGATATTTTGTATTTTTTCTCATAAGTATAACTTAAAAGTAATGCAACAAAACAGTATTACAAAATATTGCACGACAATTAGGTACCTACTTAGATAATGATGGCATGGAAGTCACATGGTACTCGTAATTAGTATTCATTCTCTTTTTACACCAACTTAATTTAGCCCTAAAGTCTAAACTAAATATCCTAGTTTCTCTAAAATAACGTTTAACGCCTTCAGCGGGAATCGAACCCACAACCACACGATTCTGTACGCTACCCACTAGACCACAGTGGCCGCAAAAAAAATTGATTAATCACAGCATACCCGAATCATTTGAATCCATACCTACTTCTTGCTACTTCTTTACAAGTTTACTACTTTGGCTAGATAGCTCTTCCTTCAAGTTCCTTTATGTCCTGGTTTGCAGTACTTGTCTCCTCTAGTGATGTGCCGAATCGTAGGTGATATACAAAACCGAATATTGTACCGATGTGAGACTTATCAAGTTGTGACCGTATACAAAATGAATATTTACAAAGAAGGGTCTTGATGATGCCATAAAAACAGTTAACTGATAGGTTACGAAAGTGGGTGCTTCACATCAATTCGTTTTATTAATCGTTACTCAAACTGGTTCTCGGCCCTTATGGTACCTACTAATAAAATGTTTAAGAAAGTAGTTTCCCGTGTAGAACCGCGTTAAATTGATGATTTGAGATAAAATAGGAATGCGACAAAGTAAAACCATTACTGTCAACGTAACCCGATATCTACATAATTTTAAGAAATAATGGTTTGGTAAAGTTACATAAACGCATTTGTAACCTCGTCATTTGATTAGAATATGAATGGGCATTGTTGCATTAAAAGTGCGTCGTAGATCGTGGGAAGAAAAAACTTACTTCTAAGAATATAACCTGGAATTATATTTTATGTGTCATTAAAGAATCAAATAGATAGGTAGATAAAAGATGAGTTCATGGTAAGGAGAACCTGGTAGAAATTGGACATGTAATGAACATTATGAATAAATTTCTTATTCTTATTCCTATTATACTCGTATGTACTTCAGTGTCTGCCTTTTTTTATTGAAATTAGGTATTCGTGTTTTAAATCAATTTAACATCAAATTGTAGCAATATTGTAACCTAATTTCATAAATTAAAGGGCTTTTTGAAGAGTAGAGATACCAGTTTTTTAATGTTGTATCTTTTTCCACAGATTGCGAAACCAACGTCACGTCCCTATGTGTCACAAATGGCGCCACTGTGTTATCAGAAAGTGGATACTCCTCGGACTTCGTACTTCAGGACTCGCTGGGACTTCTGTTCGTGACTGTACTCTGGAGTCTGCTGGCCTATTTTGGGTTAAAGAGAGAGGAAAAGAAAGGCTATGCGTACTAAAATATTATTTAATTTTATTGTTGAACAGTTAACATTGAAATATTAAAAAGTAAAACTATAAAAATATTTTTTCAGTCTCTATTTTTTGTGATCGAGACATTCAAAGCCGTAGTGCTTGTACAGATGACGGCAATCGGCATATAAAGCTAAAACACATTTTTTCATAGCTCGCAGATGCAACACGGGCGGTGCTGTACTTAAATACTATGGAAAATCATTGCCAAAAATTGTCAAGAAGCTCTTTCTTTTTATAATCGGGTCATAACGAATAATTTCTAAAATAACTACTAACAGTACTAACTATTGAACTAACATGTATTAATACACCGGAGTTCCCTTACTCCTCCTGATGACCATCCAATAAGCAATTAGATGGAATACCGCGTACATAGTCATCAAACAGCCACAGTTTCTCCAAAAGTTGGCTTCACTGAACCCAAACCGTATCAGTACATCTGGCCCGCTCCTGATGCACGGTCTATCCTGGATTCCCACACACTGGATAGTCCTTATAGAGTCCCATTGTAAGATGGAAATAGATTCCACACCGTAGTAGAAGCCAGAAATGAATTTCAGCCAAGAGAAGTAGGCAGGGGTGCTTGCTAAGTTGAGGTAGATACCGGAGAACATGATACCTATCAGGTCGAAGGGAACCGCTATGAGGGCAGCTGTCTCCAGCTTGTCAAATACTGCTGAGAGGAATGAACCTGAAAGTTAAGAAAATAATTTGAAGTTATTGTATCATTGGGATACTTATCTTATTTTGTCGTAAATTATTCATCATCTTTTGTGTAGGCGCAGACCATTGATTTTTCGTCGGCCGATAGTTTGGTCGGGCAGTTGATCAGTATGGGCATGTATATGGAAGTGCGCACATTATACCGATTCCAATTTTCCGATTCTTCATACAATTTAATCGGGCACAAATATCGGCCAACTAAAAATCGGTGGTCTGCGCCTAGTCTTTCAGTATATTGTTTTAAGTTAACCCTGAACCAGGCCTCAAAAGTCATTAGTTTTCAACCGTATTTTCACAACCTAAAGTTCAAATTGATGTGGGCTCTGTGGATACGAGAGCCTGGTTAAGGGTTAAATAGTCTTTTCAGCAAGACATTATACTTGTGTTTGGTAAATACTTACTAAAGACTGTTTAGGTAGGTATTATTTACATGTAAACTACAGGCTTTTGTTAATTAAGTAGTCACTGTTATTAACTCACCTTTAGTATTGTCCAGGTTGTCTAAAATAAGCATGGGTTAAGGGCTTGGGCTTGGGCGAATAAGCAGAAGTGCAGGGTTGCAAAATTTTATTATTCAATACAAACAGGTATTAAAATACAAAAGGATTGTACATTAAAGGCACTTTCTATCTTATCAATAAAATACAAACGACGATATTTTACACAAAAATAACAGATCGTAGCACCATGTTAAAAAATAACTGTAGATTTATTTGCACGGTTACTCAAAAAAATAGAGAGGATGAATATTATTCTATACAAAAACACTTCAATACAGCTTGGACTGGTCCTAAGAGTTGTTGAATTTTTATTTTTTAAGATCTTCAAAACAAATTTTATCTTAGACTGAATTTACTTTAAAAAGCGACCAGCACATAGTAGATGCTATTAAGGCGATTAGAGTCCTCAATGACCTTGAGCGTTTGACCTTCACGCTTCGCACAACACCCGCGCACCCCGCACGAAAACTCCGATTTGACACCGATCAAAAATACACGGGCATAGGTAGGTACAGAATAGAAGCTCTTTCTTCATACATTACTGCCTATTATTTTAAACTTGAATTGATGAACCTTGATGTCGATTAGAGATGAAACGGATATCCGGCAACTATCCGGTAGGCCGGATATCCGGCCTAAATTTACTATCCGGCCGGATACCGGATAGTAACTCACTATCCGGCCGGATACCGGATATTAAAAAACGACGACAATTTCCTATTTATAAAATCAAATGCATTAATATTTGAGGTAAATATCAATAAAATGGCTTATAATAATGACGGCTTTTATTTAAAGTCCAAAAAGATACAAAAAAGCCATATTAAAGCCTTTCAAAAAACTTATTTCTTTTTCTGGGCTATTCACGTTAATGACGAATTACATAAATAGTAAATATCTGTTAATGTCGATATACAGTGTGAGTCACGTTAAAGTGTACATATGAAAATAGATGAAACTAGACCTATTTTTATCGACAAAAAATAGGTCAAAAAATTTTTGAGATTTTTTTTTTAATTTTTATAAAATTTTTTTTCTTCCAATTACTTATTTTAAAGAAAACGTAATAACTTTTAAAGTAAGCGGTATATCCTGATAAAAGAAAAACAGTAATAATGCTAAATAACAGGCGATACTAAAAAATACATGAAATACCCAGAAAATGCCAACAAGTAATAAAAAATGATACTTTTTGAAAAAAATCTGCTTATAAATTCGTATTTTTTTGGTTATTTGATAAATTTCTCCAAAAAATGCCCCTATAACAGGTGGTTTTTATTACTTTTTATTATTCTCTATCGTATTACTTTTGTAAAACTAAAAATCTCATGTCTCTATCCCTATCACAACATTTGCTATGAAAAAAAAAATACGAATTTTTAAGCAGTTTTTTTTCAAAAAGTATCATTTTTTATTATTTGTTGGCATTTTATGTATTGTTTTAGTATTGCCTGTTATTTAGCATTATTACTGTTTTTATTTTATCAGGATATACCTCTTAGTTTAAAAGTTATTACGTTTTCTTTACAATAAGTAATTGGAAGAAAAAAAATTCTATAAAAAATTAAAAAAAAATCTCAAAAATTTTTTGACCTATTTTTTGTCGATAAAAATAGGTCTAGTTTCATTTATTTTCATATGTACACTTTAACGTGACTCACACTGTATTGCCAATTAAAATAGGCGATCTTTTTTTCACTGATGATCTGATGACAATATGATGCAGTTCAGTCAGATTATGCAGCAAGTAAACTAATTTAATTTTCACTATTCAATCACACACTCACGATTGGCAACTGAAATCATCCGAATTGATCTACCCCCTAGTGAAGTGTCAAAATCTGACATTCTATTCGGACGGATTCGATTCTCGAAAAGTGTGACTAAGTCTAGTCTAACTAATAGACCCACTGATCGCGTTCGAAGCACCTGTGCGGCGCTAAACTCGTCACGACATGCAACGAGACAATTGGCCAACTATCCGGCCGCCGGATATCCGGCTATCCGGCCTAGCAGCTGGCCGGATATCCGGTATCCGGTATCCGGCCAGACAACTATCCGTTTCATCTCTAATGTCGATGTCATTCAACCCAGGCGCAAGTGATCGCCCGAAATGTTCTAAACTAGCGCACCGTATAGTAAGGTATTTATATTTAACAAAAATTACAAATCCATGAACATTTTGTATGGGATAATATTNAATCAATATACAGGCGTCCCCCTACTTCTCTTCAGGACCATAGTGAATGCAATGAAGTGAGCCACAAAATACATAGTCGCGAGTGCAGTGCAGTTCCTCCAGAAATTCTCATCCTTATAACCAAACCGCGCAAGAACTTCTGGACCAGTTTTGATGCAAGGCATCCCTGGTACATTTACGCATTTGATAGATTCAATGGAATCCCATTGGAGGATCGAGATGGATTCAACTCCGTAGTAGAACCCTGAGAAGTATCTGATCCAAGAGACGTATTTGGTGGCACTGGCGAGGTTCAGGTAGATTCCGGAGAACATTGTGCCGATCAGTTCGAAGGGAACTGAGAACAAGGCAGCTGTCTCCATTCGGTCGAACGATGCTGAGAGGAACGAGCCTGCAATTTTGAGATTGAGAGCCAATTAGTGTGGGGTAAATTTTTCATCTTTAGGAGACTGTTGACACAATAATCAATAAATTGTCTTTGGTTGCTTAATTATTTATGCAAGAAAGTAACGATATTTTGTACAAATACTATAATAAGTAATATTAGTAAGTGGCAGGCAATAATGTGCAAGATTATGGTGCAGTTAAAGGCAGGGTCTATCCAAACCACTAATCTAACTACAAAAGTTAAGATCAATCAATCAATTTCAAAAAAATTTTAATCAGATTGTTATAAAAATATTATGTATGTGACAATAGATTATAGAGATCACATTTTTCTTTTTTATTTATCATAATGACTTGTCAGTTTGATTTGTCTATTGCGTGGGTTTTTGTGATGGCATCAGATTTCAAAATCATCAAAATTTTGTCTGACATGGTTTCGATTGGACTTGTTGTTGTGTCTGATATCATTCTGAGTCATCACAAGTTTGTCTAACATGTCTCGATGGACACCTTTCTTCTCATGAAGATTATCATTCTCATTTACGGTTTGTCCTTATAGTATGTATATTTCCAATGAAGAAAACAAAGCACTTACCATAAGCGTTGGCGTAGTTAGCGCACAGTATGCAGACGAAGCTGAAGCCGAGCCAGCCGGTAAACCCGCCGTGGAGACCAGCCACGCTGAACACCAGCGACGCGAAAAGCAGCGGCTCGATCACCGCTCGGGGTATCTGCAAATACAGACGGTAGCTGCTCAGACTAAACTTGCAAATACACATTTATAAGTCAACTAGCTTCCTCCCGCGACTTCTTACGCGCGGATCTCGTTTTACCCTCTTAGGGGTTGAATTTTGCAAAATCCCGACTTAGTGAGCACCTACGTTCTAAAAGGAACCCTCATGCAAAATTTGAGACTCCTAGCACTTGTAGTTTCTGAGATTTCGTGATGAGTCAGTGACCTTTCGCTTTTACATAGATTATAGACAAGATACCGTAGAATTTAGCTTAAATTGCCATCTGTAAATCAGCAACTTTAACCGCCATATCAATATCATTCACTACTGGCTAGAATTTGATTGTTGAGCGTATTGAATACGAGTCTTAAAATGTGATCATAGCATTTTTGCTTTGGCTACTAAATATCAAAACGTTATTTGTACATTGATAGTTAATAGTCTTCTTTTTTAAAATTAATAGCCTTCTTCTATAATCGCGTGTGTGGGTTACAACAACTAAGGTCAAAACATTATGAGCTTAGGGCAGCGTCTTATGTTTTATTAAGCTTGTGCGTCTGTAAATTAGATCGACGGAGTACGACAGACAATCACGTAATTGGTTTGATTCAACCCTACTACAATTCTAAAGTAGTACGGCCAACAAGAAGCGATACCAAATGTAAACAAACCCAATGTCATGGTTATTTGGTATAGCAGAGGGGTTTGACTTTGACATATTTTGGCGGGAGAACGAGACATTACGACAAATACACAAGATGGGAAGAGATAGAATAGATTGTCAGTTCGACAGTCGAATCGACCTTTTGTATCGCTGCTAGTTGGCCGTACTTTAGGTAAAGTAACATACACAAAGTTCATTTTTAAGTGCGAGAAATCAAACTCAAAACCGAAAGGGTTCAACTCTAAACTAGACCACGATGAGTAATGAGCTACTAGTGTTACATCATCAAAATAAACGATCTTTCGAATTAGGTCAATGACTAAAGAAATATCACATCCCACTAAAATTGCGGAAAATCATTAAAATAATATTACCTATTTTTATAGTAGGTGTGAACAAGGAAAACTCTATCTACCACAAAACCACAAAATTTTTTGAAAGTAATTACAATAGTTTCATTAATGTTCTCATTTTTTAAAGAAGGAAAATCAGTGGTTATTTTAATGACTATCCATTATTCCATTAATTACGTGTTTTACCAAAATACGCATATCTATCGGTAGACAGCTTGTCTATGTCTAAACTTAGGACTTTTTGGAGTCTTGTAATTAAATTGGTTAATTAATAATGATGTTGTACTTTCAAGTTCATAGATTAGGTA